ATATATATATATATATTAAAGCTCAGAATTCGGTTCCCGGGAAACCGAATTCTGAGCATGAACAGTAATTGGTTCTATTTCAATAAATAAACTTGCACAGATGTTACTTTTGTAAAAATAAATTTAAAAAATATTATTTACGTAAAAAATTCCCCCAGCCTTTTAAAAACAAACATAAATGTTAAAAAAAATGTCCGGAAAACAAACGTTAAAAAAAATGAAACGCAAATAAGCATTAAGTACGTGTTTGCTTTAGCTTTTGGACGTGAAAATTCACGTTTGTGAGAAGCAAAAAATTGTAGCTTCTACGTAAATTAGCTTGTAAACGTGGAGAGAGAGTGAAAAATCACGTTTTTAAATCTAAAGCAAACACGCACTAAGAAGTCTTGGAGCTCGAATCAAGTCTTGAAGCACAGCACACAATCCAAAGTTTTTCCAGTATTGAAACTAAAAATGTGTTTGCAATTTTCTGGTAATAACACCTATTAAAACATTAACCACAACTGAGGCTAATAAAATGTTTTGCATGATATCCAAAAATGCCTTGCCCAAAAAATTAAACTACTTATCATCAAGAGACAAACCATAGCTGCCACTTCAAAATGCATATATAACTTAATTTACATATAAACCATTGATTTCAGCAGTGTAAACAAATAATACAGCTACACAGCCAGAATGTTTTGATAGAACTCGATCACAATTTGTCAAGATTGAAGAGCGACTGTTAGATAACCAGTGATTAGAATTACCTATTCATCCCACACATTCTTTGGTAATATAAAATCTTGCTATCTAGCATTTTTCAAAAACAAAAATTACATGGGAACAATAAAACCCCAAAACAAGGCATTCTTTTAAAACCGCTGCTAGGCTGTAATATTTTACAAATGCCAGGTCCCACGGGATGTTTTATTCTCCAAAATAAACTCAAGGAATGCACACAATAGATAAGAGGTATTGAAGTCACAGTTCCCGTGATATTACAGTCAAGCAAGTCATGGGATTTAATCTTATTACCAATGAAGCCACAAGGCCAGAACATTATCATGTAACAGTTTCACTGCTTGCAAAAGCTAGTGCACAAAAATAGGTTGATTAGCATGAAAATGTTTCGACAGACTTAACTTACAAACATAGCACCATGAAATCAGAAACAAAGGCAACGAGTTCAACATATTTCATGATTATTTTCGCCAACTGCTGCAGTCCTTGAAGACATGTATTAATCATCATCTTCCTCTGCGATGCAAAAATAAAAAATAAATAAGATGCAATGAGGTAATAAATTGATAATGCAAAAACACCATATCCAAAGCATTCAGTTAAGGAGCAGCTGGAAATCCCAAAACATGTAAAGCATAAATACTTCAGTTGTTAACAAGGAACATGTTCTGGAAATTGCCATAAGAAATTCTAAAATATTCAAACAATTGAATGATGATAAAAATAAAAAAAATAAAAAAAAATTCTTGAGTTGAAAAGCTAACAGAGAACTACAGACCAATCAAATAAGAGCACACAAAAAATAAAATGGACCACATTCACAAAACCCACCATAATAGCCCACAAAAGAATTCAACCACACATAATAGCACACAAAATAATTCAATAACACAAAGAAAAAAGCGTGAGAACTGAGAAGAATAGAATTTATAGCTGGAGCAATCAGGTCTTCGAAGCAACAGATGAATTGCATTACTTAGCGGGGCTACTCACCAAAATTTCACCATGCATTACAATAAACTGTAAGTCATCCCATTGCATTAAAATTGTAGTAGCTTATTAGCTATCACAAGTTCCAAAACTGTGGTGTTCCAATAAAATCACCCATCAAAGACCTATTTAGATAAACTTCTCCACAAGCACTGCCAGAGAGATGAAAATAAAAAGGAAAAATAAAATATACTTCTTCAAAAGTTAAAATTAACTTATGTATAAGTCAATTTGAAGAAGCTCTCTCATATCAGTTTCTCCAAAAATATGTTTTTAACTTGTATATACGCTAATTTCAACTTATGGGGAAGTTAATTTCATTTAATTTTCTTATTTTGTTTCTCCTAAAATTGCCTAAGGAAAAGTTTATTCATACATACTCCTAAGGAAGAAACAAAATTTGTACTTCCATTTACCACAAAATTCAAGCCACTAACATAAAAAAGAATCAATCATATTCTAATATAATATTTCCAACCGCCATAGTAATTTACGAGCAAATCTTCCAAAAATCACTTGTCTAATTCTAACATTGAGAAAAGGGAAAAACAGCTTCAGTTCCCTAACAATTCCACCGAATGAGACCAAATAAGTTAATAAGAGAAAAATAAATGTTTGGGACGGAAAAGAAAGGGAACCTATGTAACGTCTTTCGTTGGCGTCCCTGGCCTTTTGGATCATCTTGTCGCGGTCAATCTCCAACTGGGCATCCCATTTGAAAAGCTGGTTCACGAACACAACACCCAAACCCATTCCGATGACGTGCTCCCACGGATCTACATGAAAAAAACACGAGTGAAAAAGGGAATTGAATTAGCATTGGCGAGAAGAAGGAGAAGGAGAAAGAGAAGAGAATAGATACGGCGCATGTAGGGGAGTTTCCGGAGAGCATTGGAGTACATCTGTGTACCCAAACCCAGTAACGCTCCGATCGCCGTCGCGCTCAGTCCCAGTCCCATTTTCCTCTTCCTCTTACAAACCAAACCTATTTCTTTCCCAAGTACTTATTACTGCTATTTTTTTTTAAGAAAAACACTTTCGGGAACACGGGGTATTAAAGGAATTACACCCTTACAAAGTTATTTTTAGTCTTTTTAAATTTGGCATAAATTTATTTTAATTCTTCCAATTCCACATTGATCTTTTTAATTTATATAAATTGAAAAAAAAATATTTAACTTCATATACCCAAAATTTATTAGTATATTTGTCACATGAAATTTATATATTATTGAATTGCATCACACAAAATTCACTTGTTGTACTTTTGTTAATGAAAGTATAAAATTTATAATAGACTCATTTTTTTAATTAAAAATTATACCAACAAAAATTTAAATTTGGAAAATCAAAAATAAACTCACTCTAAATTTAAAGATTAAAACATATTTAAGTTTTACTTTTTTTTGTAATTACGATATTGGTATAAAATATTCACTACTAAAAGCGGTGATTAATCTCCATTTTAAATTGTGAATTTGTGAGCGCATATAAAATAAATATTTTTCTTTCAACATAATTATTTCATACTCAAGATCAATATTTAAACCTTAAATAATGTGGTTAAACAACACAAATTATTATCGCATGAATATATATAAGGTGAGTATTTATATCTAACCGACTAATCTTATGAATTAACAAAGATCGAAATATTCAGTTGATTATTATACTTACGATTTTTATGTTTGAATCCTTATACAAATTATTATAATTTTATATTTGTTCCTCTTATTTAGGATAGGCCAAATTCAAATAAGTTTAGTTGGACTTGGAGGGGAGGGGAAGAGGGTTGGTTTGGAGGGTTCCGGAATGATGTATAGAGGTTAGTACAAAATGCTTTCCAAACAAACACTTTTGATGCAAGTAGGGACGGATCCAGAAAATTTAAATAGTGGGGACAATATCTAGTGTTAAAAATTTCATATAATTTTTAAATATATAAATATATATTATAATTATTTTTTACAAGCTTTTATATCTATGATTACGATTAAGGATGAAAATAAATTAGGTCAAACTAGGTTATATTACAATTTAATAGGTTTAAATCTAACTTTTTTTTAAAAATACATGTTCTAAAAATGACTTATTTATCTGTTATAGACATTTTTTAAAAAATATTTGGTTAGAACTACAATCCTAAAGACCTACTTTATAATAATTTAACACTAATAAAAACATAAAAAAAATATATTAAATTGTATAAAATTAAGTTTAATTTATTTATTATATAAATATGTTTTTAATATTTAATATAAATTTTTAGATGATAATTTAATTTAAAATATATTTTATAATAAAAATTCTAAATAGAACATAAATCATTCAATCTTTTCTATTTTAATTTTTTTTAATCAATGTATAAAATCTTACAATCTTTATTATTTTGACTTTTTTTAATCAACGTATATTATATATAGAAAGCACAAAAAGTAAACATGCATATTATAAATTATTTTATCAAAAATTAATTTTTTAATATATTACATTATATATGTGAG